TTACGGTCTAAAATATTGTTAGAATCCGCTATTTAACTCATTCAAAGCCAGATGCCTTTGTGCGGCAATACTTGGAATACCTGGTAATCGAGGAGTCTATACAGTGATTTTGCTTCCGATGTTATGCGTTTTTATCTCAATGTGGACGATTCTAAGGGTGTATTAGAAGCGAGCATATACCGTCCTTCGGCAATAAACCAACCTAGTATTCACTTATCCTAATCTGATTTTTTTTGATTTTAGGTGCCCAGCGTTGTGTATCAATTCGACAGGCGCTGACTCACATCAGACAGTGGTTTCTTGAAGATATCCGAGTGCCAAATAGTGACGAATCAGATATTAAGGAATCTTCAGATCAAGTTCAAGATGCTGAAATAACCTGGCAACAGGCTGATGTCACCGTTGCCCGTTGGCTGGCCAATCAACTTGACTACACACAGCTTGCTGAAGCATTGCACGGACTTCAAGATCTCAGTCTGAATCCCTCAACCTCTATTTGGAGCCTGTCAGAGACAGAAACGAAAGGGGCTCAAATGACCACTCCCGAGACCTCAAATTCGCGTTTCCTTTCACGATTGGAGAGTATTACGAAAGAACAAATAACGAATCACATTAGGCGGTTAGTTGTGCAAGTTCGAATTACTGACGAAACTCACTCTACGCTTGTTATCAATATCGATTTTTTTCCTTTTTAGGTTATTGAAACAGTATCCAGAGTGCATTGATAAAACATAGGTCTGTAATTAGATCCTCAACGCACCCGTAAACTTTCTTCAAAAACTTTCATAGGCCGACATACTTCCGAGTCCGCCATAGTAGACGTTTCCGAAACATAGTTCGAATCGCATAGGCATCTTTTGTGTACATTAACTTCTCTCCTCGTTGTTTATTGCTTATCTTACTATTATTCAGCAGTATATTTTCCATTCGTGTATACAGCAAATGTACACATACTCATTTATGGACCAGTCTTATTTTTTGTTCTCTTATTTTCCTGCCCTTTCTATTACCTTTTCTTATCTGTATATTACTTTAATTTAAAAGTGATAGGTTACGTTATCATTCACCCATTATTATGACCCCGCTCCCCCAGAGCTTTGTTTGCTGTCTTTGCTGCCTCTCGAATCAGAATATGTGTTAATTGATACAATAAAGTGACTAGCTTTTTATTTGTTTCTAACTTGATTAAAGAAGTTTACCCTCCCACGCAATACGCTCAACATTTCATTTTGCTGACTGGAATATCGACGGTATTAAGCAGCTGAATGCTAGACCTGCTATTTCTGTGTGTATTTGGGGAAAATCACTAATTGTTCTCCTATTGAGTGGCTTACATTACGTTCACACTTATTTAGAGTAGAAATGTATGTGTTAGCACCAAAGTCCCATGATGCAAATGGGAAATTGGGAAAAGAGGACTGCAAAGGGGAAAATGGGCTTTCTAAGCGTAATACGTTAATGCTCATCACTAAAGTTACTATTCGGAGATCTGATTAGAGTTGCTCTTAGAAATTTGGCAGAGCTCAATAGTACTACACATAATGCAATGGTAGTATGACAGGTTTTCAAGATTGCAGGTGAATAGTCATCAGGAATCTAGTGAATCTTAGTTTGAAGGTTGGTTAGGCCACAAAGCATTTCGATCGAAGATATATTCGCTTGTGTAGTGGGAGCACATGTGGAACACTGTTCAAAGTGTGGTAGGATTAATGTGGAACAAGTTGACCATTTTATTAAACATGGCACTTCTATGATTTTTTTAACGAGACTTTTATGAAAGACCATAATTAATAGCTGAAGCGATGGAGGGCGGGGGAGAGAAATGTGCCAAGAGTTACTATCAAGGTGTTTAAACTAGCTCCAACGCACAAATTACCTTGACTAAGACCACTCCTGATATGGATTGATCAACTCGCAAAATGCGCTTAAGCTTTGTTGTCATATTTACACTATAACTTACACTTACCTCCACGTGGTGCACCCTGGGCAACGTATACTCATACGGCAAAAAAGTCTATTAATCGGCAGTTGACTTCTGACTTCAAACTACCATGACCCCATTACATTTCATATTCGAATAATTCCACAGTATTCATCTCACCTTTTTTCTAACTTTGTGTCTGTCTCTTTTAAATCTTTGAAACACTCTTCGGTCCCCCCCCCCATCTCGACTTTTTTCACTTTGATGTTCCTTCCCACCTGTGAAGCCTGAAGTCAACTAAAGGGCTAATGATAACTATCAAACCGCCTGCCATTTGATATAAATAAATAAATATCTCACCAGTTTAGAAATAATCAGGGAAGTTTCAGCACTTCCTCATAAAATAAGTAAAGAGAACTACAATTGTACATCTAATGAATTAGACAATCGTCTCACTAGCATAAAATCAAGTATTGGCAACACCAGACTTAGGTAAACTTAATCGGATACAGATTAGAAAAGAAACTCTACATCTTCTTTAATTTATCCGACTTAACCTACGAAATTGCATATCCGTTCCTTGTAAGATACGCGTTTATTATAGTCCATGGTTTCTTGACCTCCAATATGAAAGATACGCACTTTTGAACATTGCTACAGATTAAAAATTCTCGAATCCATTAAAGGAAGCGTTTTGCAACGCCGATTCTGGTTAGAGAGACTCCATTCAAGCGTTCCACTGTTGGGAAACTCGATGTCCACTGTCCCACTCAGTGCGCCTATGCAACCAGGTATGCGTCGATACGTAACGATCTATTGTCCTCTGACCTCATTGATGAGCACAATTAATGATCTTAGTTACTCCTTTACTAGATCCATTACAATGAAATTTTGTCGTTTTAATGAAGTACTTAGATCGAAACTCCATGAAGTAAAGAAAGCAAAACAGCAAGAGAGAGACCCTATTGGGGATTCCAAAAATTAATCAATAATATCAATCAATAATGATTTCAGTACAGGAATATAGAAGATGCAGAAGACGATTAAACAGAAATTCTCTCAAAGAACCTTCTGCCATTTAAATTTTCATAGACGTGCCAAGTTATTTACACACTTTGAAGTGGGTAACTTGGTTTTGACTATAGTGATTGTAACGAATAGGTTTGAAATTGTGCTCAAGTAGGTGCAACGACAATCAACAACTGTCATACAAGATTCGAGACCACAGGTTCTGCAACAAAGTATCACGAAGTTTCAGAAATTGCAGACAAGTGCTTATAGGAGATTCGACTTTTTATTTTACTCCCTCTTGTTCCCTTATACTTCTTGTAACAAAATTTGGCATTTACCGTAGAAAGTTGCTCCTTAATTACTAATTACCACGGCAATCTAATTTCCCTCAAAGTGGCTTACAAGTAAGCTGCGAATAGGTTAATGCCTTTTATTCGAGCTATGAATAAAGAGGCATGCAGAACGTTATTGCTAAAATGGGATGACCTTCATCCAGTGTGGTATGGAATTCAGAAAAAGCTACGCAGATCTATTTTGAAATGTACCTTCGAAAGATCAGAATGTTTAAACAGAGCCTGTGCTAAACAAACTCGCATGTAGTCCAAATGTTTTATTTTATTGAATTAAGTTTAAAATTAGTGTAAACATTGTAGAGGTCTTTCTTGATGAAAGTATTGACTAGGTATAGGATGAAATTGCCTATCCAAACTGTGTGCAGACATGTAAGCCTAATGGGATTGCAAAATTCGTTGCACATCTTGATGAATTTTCTTGCACTTCAAAGGGCTGTTTGTAAATTAAACCATTTTCGAACAACCGCTACTGGGGTGATTATTTTTACTACTAGAGAGTGGAGGATGGAGAGAGTTAATGTTAAATCATGTTTTCCAAAACCTAACTGTTCAAATTTATTTAGGTCATTTTTTGCCATTGTTCTGTTATGTAAATATTAAGGACTGAAGGACAGTGGAATGAGCGTAACAAGTTGTTTTTTTTCATTTGGGCACAACAAAACATCAACTGAAAATTATTTCAATTCATCGTTGAATCGAATGCTGATGAAAATTCTCAGTGAATAGCGGCAAATCTCTGAGTTAAAATTTACAAAGATAGAGGACACGCTTTCCTCAAGGCCTTTTCTGGATATAAATGGGTCCAACCAATCAATAGTCAAACATTATATCTAAAATTAGGGCGAAAGAACAAAGAAACCGGTGCTCTGTGGCCGAAGAAGGTTT